AGGTTATTATTCCAATTGTTAATCCCAATTTGAGCAGACTGACTGAATTAACTTGACTTGTAAAGCAATATGTTATTCAAGTCCCATTGACTTCATGTGTCTAATGAAAGTTAAAGTGCTAATGATGTTCCTTCAACTTGAATGAAGATTATATTCCCTGCAAGTTCTGTAAGGATGCACAAGTCACCTTTCACCCATTCCACATTTCTTTTGGCTGGGTGCATTCTTTTGTTCACGCCTATCAATCGGACAGACCAATTGACTGTTTTTATTTGCCTCCTTCCATATTTCATAAAGTTATTTTTTTCCAGATTATTGTGTATATTTCAGACTATGAAGACACACCAATAAAGTATGCAGTATATGACCTTTTCTGCAGTAAAAGTTAGCCAGCCACAAATGACTTCCCATCACCAGCAAAAGTAACCTGCTGAGACTTGATTTCAAATCGAACATGGAAGCTATGGAAAGACCCATTTTATCTGTTTATATCTTTCCCCCTCTTCCTTTCTTTATGATTAACATCACAAAAATGGCTGGTTGGAATATGTTTGTATGTGTGCACTCACACATGCATACATGCAGATTATCTAACATTCACTACTTTTTGTCAACTAAATATTCACTGGGCTTATATTCTACCAGTTCATTGAAGGATATGAGTATAACAAGTCCTGAAGTATCACATATTCCACAGAATAAGCAGTACTGCAAACTCACACAGAACAAAGATGCTAAAGCATTCATGCAACCCATCTGTGGAGAGTCAGTGGTAGAGTGGAATTTTCCCCAGAGCCAATCAGAGTTAGGCTGGCTGCAAAGGTGAGGGCCTGCCTAAAGAGTGGCTCTAAAAGGGGAGGAGCCATTGAAAGGAGCAGAACTATGTCATGTTCTGTCAGAAATGAAGAGGTTTCAGTACAAAACCGTAATGGAATTCAGACTTCCATGTAAGGAATAAAAACTTAATATGAAAGAAGTTTAGGGAAGTGTATGAGTTTGTCATTTGACATTTGAAGAACTAGTTCAGGGTGGATCATACCTGCCTTTTTCTGAGGAAACGTTAATTGGAAATTGAACCAGACTTTCATGGGATTCATAGCCTGATGAAGAGGGCATTATTAGAGCTTGTGTTTAGAGAAATAAAACACAGGTTCAAGAGGAAACAATGTCAGTGAGGGAAGTGAACAAAGATAGTTTGTAACAAGCACTTCACTTGCTATCCATAATTTAATCACATGATTTGAGAACCAACTGTAAAAAGATACTAACTGAAGTCTGCCTGTAACTAAAGTTTAAATTTCTTCTTGTTTACAGAGGAGTGGCCTAAAGTAGTTTATAAATAATAACATCAAAAGCATGTTACCAAAAATATTAAAACAGTTAATAGATAAGGATACTGGGAGCCTATCTCAGAGTCACTTATTGAATGAGTGGACAAGGAAAGGAATTGGGGCCAGTAAAAGGACCAAGGGTTAAAGGTATATTTACGAGGAACGAAAAGCCTTAGACTATATTTTAAGGAAAGAAGAGCCTTGTGGGCTTAGAGGTCACACATCAAACAACAATTAATATAAAAATATTTAGTTTACTGTTACTAGGAGCCCTGGTGGTGAAGTGGTTAAATGTCATTACTGCAGCCGCTCACCCACAGTCATAAGGTTGTGAGTTTGATACCAGCCAGGTATTGACTCAGGGTTATCTCAGCCTGGCATCCTTCTGAGGTCACTAAAATGAGTAGCCAGCTTGTTGGGGTCTGTGAAGAGCCCCTCCTTCAGCTAACTCACCCCCCCCTCAAATAGCAGCTCTATGAGTATTGTGATCCCACCACTGCCTCAATATGATGTATATCTATGAGTTTACTCACCAATCTTGGTTTCTTTATTTCTTAGTAGTGTGGATAATAATACCAGGTTCTAACAAGCTTGTAAATGAACAACAATAAAACTTTATTTGAAAGATAGTTAAAAATGTTTCATTTGTTACAGTGTTGCATTCTCTTGTTGCACTGGCACAAAGGATACAAGATGCCTCTTTTTGGGTTAAAACAGGCCACAACTTTTATTTAGCTGTACACGGTCAATTTACAAGAATAAACTACCAACAATTTTGTCACATGTGTAAGTGAAGGTGTAACCCAGGAGGTAGGTGGACCTTCACTGCATGTGACAAAATATGTAAGCAAATGAATAACAACAAATTTACATAACCCCTCCCCTCCGGAAATGATGTCATATTACATAATATGACATCATTAAATCTGTGACATCATGCATTTAACTGCATTCATCACTTCCTTTTAATTTAACATTATCCAATTTACCCCAGTTAATTTACTTAACCATATTAATTTCCCTGTGTGGTGGGGGTCATTACCTGCCCCTAAATACAAAATAAACACATTCTAACTTATAGACCCAAACCCATAAGTTGTGAAAAGCTAATAATAACATAAACAATACATCAATTATTAACCTAAGACCCATACCCAACTTCAAATTAGGCATTAATTTCAAGGAGGGCAAAAAACACAGGAGACCATCCTGGGGAAAAATTCCCCCCGGCCCCCAAAGGCGACCAGCCAAAGCCTGAGAGTAACCAATTAAAGCTCTTTAAATGAGGGTGGGTGGGTTGGGTCGCTCAGTTCAAGCTGTAAAATGGCTGCCGCCATGTGGCAGCGCAGAGCTATAAAGCACAAACTCTCATCCCAAGTCTCGGGAGATTACAAGCACTGTGAGACTCTGGGATATGAACAAGCAACTTGATTGGACTAAGTGTGCAGGTGCTCAATACCCCTGCGCACTTGACCTATTAGGCTTCTCATGTCATAATATGGACAGCGCAACAGGAAACCCCTCCCGACTTGTCGGGGGGTTTCTTTGCATTGGCACAAAGGACACAAGATGCCTCTTTTTGGGTTAAAACAGGCCACAACTTTTGTTTAGCTGTACAGGGTCTATTTACAAGAATAAACTACTAACAATTTTGTCACATGTGTAAGTGTCATGGTCAGTCAGGATCTGGACTTGGAGGATGAGGAGGAGGATGAGCCTACTCCAGTACAGGAGGAAAGGGAGGCTCTACCAGGTTCTAATCCTGCCCTGCTAGATCCCAGCCCTGTCCTCCTAGCCCCAGAGAAGGAAGAGCAGCCAGGTCCTAGCATTAGTAGGATCCCTATGGAGGCACAGCAGCCTAGTGGTAAAGATCAGGAAGAAACAGGTGTGGAAGTGCCTCCCTTCAGACAACGCAGGGCAGAGAGTGTTTGTATGCGTCGGTCAAGGAGGCTTGCAGGAAGGCAATTGATTAACAAGCCTCAGCTGGCATGGAGGAGAGAATCTCCTACTTAATCACCTGGGAGAGGACCACTCAGTGCCAGAGCTTATTGCAGTTTCCTTGTGTGGTTACTGTCAGCACTGGCTCCTTGCTCTCTGGAACCCTTGTGTGCCGTGAACCTTTGACTTCGGAATGAATTGGACATTTGTTACCTTCTGGCTGCCCCGACCTTGGACTGAACTGACTACTGTGTACTCTGGAATCCTGACCCTGTCTTTGGTAATTGTGTGCTTCTTGGGAACTAACAGAAAGTTCTGTAGCCTGCCTTTTAGCTTCTTTCTTGCTAAACCATT